AGATATGGTGCAACCACTCTGGGAAACTGTCCATAGCTACAAAAACTAAACATACATTTCTCATCATCCAGCAATTCCACTCCTTGATATAGACGAAGAGAAGTGCCTGCTTATGTGTACCATGGGATATGTAAGAGAAGGTTCACAGCAGCACCGTTCAAAATAGTGGAACCTAGAAACAATCCCCATCTCCATTGACAGTAGGGTGATTCAACAAACTGTGGTCTAGTTAAACAATGGAATACTCCAGAGCAGCGAAAAGAGACACAAAATGTGGACAGACCTCTTTGGATGAGGTTAAGTGAAAGTGCCTGAAACAGACTGAATGGGCTCACTTATATGAAGTTCTAGAATAGGCAAAACCAATCGAGGGTGACAGGAATCAGACCAGTATCACCTTTGAGGGGAGCCCCTGGAGGCCAGGAACATTCTACATCTTGATCTGGTGTGATCCCACGGCCATCAAACAACAATTAAAATTCGTGTGTTTCAAGGTAAGGAGATCAAGACCATCCTGGCTAACACGGTGAAATGCCATCTCACTAAAAGTACAAAAAATTAGCTGGACGTGGTGACATGCGCCCATAGTCCCAGCTACTCAGGAGGCTGAGGCAGGAGAATCGCTGAATGCAGGAGTTGAAGGTTGCAGTGAGCCGAGATCGCGCCATTGCACTCCAGCCTGGGCAACAGGGTGAGACTCCATCTCAAAAAAAAAGAAAAGATTTGTGTGTTTTACTGTGTGCAATTTTTACATCTCCATCAAACCAGTTTATACCTCCCTCAAGCCAACAAGAGAAGGATAAAGACACGTGGGAATCATGAGCATCAAATCCAGGTTGCAGATTTGTTTTTTTTCTTTTTGAGAAGGAGCCTTGCTCTGTTGCCCAGGCTGGAATGTGGTGGTGCAATCTTGGCTCACAGGTTGCAGTGACTTCTTAGAGAGATCCCGTTGGGCAGGGATGTGAGGGGATCCCCTATATTGGGATGTTTCCTTTTAAGGAAGAAAAGAACAGAACATGGAAGAACGTAAGTTTCCACAAAGTTGAGTGATCGCTGCATGGCGGCTTCTGTTCTTATCTTTTAAACTTTTTTGAATATGTAAAATATTTAAAATATTGAGAATCAAACCAGAAACAAAACCCATTCCATGGCTTCTCCTGCTCCCGAGCTCACAGTGGCTGCTCCTGCCTCCCGGCTGCGGCCACCTTCCTGCTGCATGCCATTGGAGGTCCCGTCCTGGGCTCAACCTGTCTTTCCAGCCTCTCACTCACCCCTCCCCACCCGCCAGGCTGGTCTCCTCACTCTTCCCCTAACACGCCTTAAACATTCCCATCTCCACGTCTCTCCTCCCACCTGGAATGCCCTCCCCATTCCTGTCGACTTGCTCTGTGCCAGGCACCGTGCCGAGTGCTGTAGGCTATTAACTCCTGAAATCAGGGGCTCAGCCATGGGGAAATTGGGGCAACGCTTACAACCACAAATAATCTCCATCATCATCCCCCAAAGCCACCCAAGTCATCCAAGTAGAAAGAGCAGTGCTGCTAAGCCCACAATTTCAAGACAAATCACCCCATAGCCCAACTACCCCCTAAGCCCCTCCAGTATAGACATTCTGGCCCACCACTGGAGGTAAAAGTCACTCATTACTTGGTATTGTGTCTTTAACATTCTCATTTTACACACGGGAAACTACAGGCTTAGAGAGAGCAAGTGACTTGCTTGAGACACTCAGCAAAGAAAGGCTGTCTTTCTCCTGAGATCTTTTTCTTCTCCAAGATCTCCCAATCATGACTGACCCCCAAGTTTGTCTCTGCCTCAGAGCCTTTGCAATTCCAGGTCCCTCTGCCTGGAACGCCCTTCTCCCAGCTATTCCCAGGCCCAGCTCCTTCTCATCATTCTAGTCTCTACATTCAGGCCAGAGTCGTCCTCCCAGATTCCCGCCCTCATCCCCAGTGTAAAGAAGCCCATCCAGGCCTCACACCCGTAATCCCAGCACTTTGAGAGGCTGAGGAGGGCAGATTACCTGAAGTCGGGAGTTCAAGACCAGCCTGCCCAACATGGAGACACCCCATTTTTACTAAAAAAAAAATACAAAATTAAAGAAAAAAATGCAGCCCACGCCTGTCTTTCTCTATCACACAACCACAACTTAGCACAACCCACAATTGTTCTGCACGTTTTGTTCGTTCACTTCCATATCATCTGTCACATGCACAGAACAGAAGCACCAAAGGCAGGGATTGTGTCTACCTTGTTCCGGGTGTTTCCCAGGGCCTGGTGTGGTAGGCGCTTAGTAAATGAGTTGGAAGAACACAAATCACTGGCTATGCCTTCCCAGGGCCACGCAGTGAGGAAAGTGCAGAGAAGGGGATCAGTGACAGCTGAGGCCAGATCTCCACTGAATCACTCAGCTCCATCCAGGTCCAAGGCTGCATGGGGTCCAAAGACAGGAAAGAAGCCGGGCCTGGTGGCACGTGCCTGTAATCCCAGCACCTTGGGAGGCTGAGGCAGGTGGATCACTTGAGGTCAGGAGTTCAAGACCAGCCTGGCCAACATGGTGAAACCCTGTCTCTACTAAAAACATAAAAATTAGCTGGGTGTGGTGGCGTGTGCCTGTAGTCCCAGCTACTCAGGAGACTGAAGCAGGAGAATCGCTTGAACCTGGGAGTCAGAAGTTGAAGTGAGTTGAGATCACACTATTACACTCTAGCATGGGAGACAGAATGAGACTGTCTCAAAAAAAAAAAAAAGAAACAAGAACGAGAAGGAACCCCCAGCAGGCCCCCTAGCCCTGCAGTCCTGAGCCGCTGCCCACCAAACAGGCTGGAAAGGCCCCACCACCCACCGAAAACAATTTTTGTTACTGTTTTTGAGTTGTTATAAATTATAAGTTTGCTTTTCTAGTATTGTTCATTTTTAGTTCACAGTTTTATCATTGTAGGAAGCTCCTTTTTTTCCCGATGTTTAGCATTTTCACAGAGGCTTGCCGAGTTCCAATGGCCAGGTGGAGATGAAAGCAGAGGCCTCAGAGACACGAGGAAGGAGGCCAAGGCCGAGGAGGACACAGTGGCTGAACAGAGAGGAACAGGCGGATGTGAAGAGATGCACGGCGCCGAAGAGACACGGGGAGAATGACAGCGACAGACGGAGATGGAGAGAGCAGAAACCAAAGCTCAGACAGATCCGACTCCCACATCTCCTTCCAGAACACCAGCTCCACAACCAGCAAAATCACAGGGTTGACTGAGCATTTGCTGAGTGCAGGTCCTGTGCTCAACGCTTTTCTGTGAATGCCCACGCTTGATTCTCACGACCACCTGTGGGAGGAGGGATCCTCTCATTCCTTGTTTTAAACATAAGGAAACAGAGGCACAGAGAGGTTGCCCGGCATGCCTTTTGTCACACAGCCAGCAGGCATGAAGCCAGGTGTGACCTCAGCCCTGCCCCAGACCCAAGGCTGAGCCATTCTCTCCAGTCTTGAGGTGTCTAGGTTTGTTTTAGGACAGCTCCTCTCAATTTCAGCGGTGCTGGTGAATCCCTTGGGGACTTGTAAAAACGTCAATTCTAGGCCTGGCATGGTAGCTCATGCCCGTAATTCCAGCACTTTGAGAGGTCAAGGCAGGTGGATCACTTGAAATCAGGACCAGCCTGGCCAACATGGCAAAACCCCGTCTTTACTAAAAATATAAATATTAGCCAGGCATGGTGATGTGCAGTTGTGTCCCAGTTACTCGGAAGGCTGAGGCAGGAAAACTGCTTGAACCCAGGATGCGGAGGTTGCAGTGAGCAGAGATCGCAGCACTGCACTCCGGCCTAGGCAACAGAGTGAGAGTCCATCAAAGGAAGGAAGGAAGGAGGGGGGGGAGGGAGGGAAGAAAAGAGAAAAGAAAAGCAAAGGTAGATCCTGATTTAACAGGGCTTTGGGGTGGGAGGGACCAGACCCTGCATTTCTAACAGACTCCCAAGTGGGGTCAATGCTCTGGCTTCGAGGCCACACCCTGAGCAGTGAGGATCTAGAGGAGTCCAGTGATCTAGGACCCTTTGGCCAGCCCAGGGACAGGAAGGGTGGGGGAGCCTCCAGCCAGTCTAGCCACCATCCATACCTACAGGCCTTGGGGCCATGCCGGCCCCTGCGGTTCAGTTTCCCCTTCTTGGTGCTTCCTGTTGATCCCGGGAATTCCCCATAAGCTGACTGTCCTGCACACAAAGGCAGCTGCACAAAGATGTTCATTGTGGCATTGTTTACACAAAGGGCAAGTTGAAACCACCTAAATGTCCACCAGTAGGGCACTGTTCAATACACTAGGATCTGTGCAGCCATTACAAATGATGGTGGCCGCCGGGCGCGGCGGCACATGCTGGTAATCCCAGCACTTTGGAAGGCCAAGGTGGGCAGATTGCATGAGCTCAGGAGTTCAAGATCAGCGTGGGTAACATGCCAAAACCCCATCTCTACAAAAAATGCAAAACTTGGCTGGGTGTGATGGCACACACCTGTAGTCCAGCTACTCGGAAAGCTGAGGTGGGAAGAAGGCTTGAGCCCAGGAGGTAGAGGTTTCAGTGAGCCAAGATCTGCATTCCAGCCTGGGCGACAGAGTGACACCCTGTCTCAAAAATAATAGTCATAAATAAAATAAAAATGATGGTAGGGTAAAATTCAAAATTAGATGACTTTTGACCCAGCAATTCCATTTCTAGGACATATCCTATGGATATACTTGCACAAGGACACAGAAAGCTTTCCACCAGCCTCTCTGTTGCAATTTGTCATGGCAAAAGCCTGCATGCCACCATCACTAAGAAACTGGTTCTTTAAATCCTGGTCTATGTCCACCATGGAATACCATGCAGCCTTGAAAAAGGAGGATGCTCTCTATGCACTGGTATTATCAAGACCTCCGGTTGGTGAAAATCACAAAGCACAGAACTAGTGTGTAGAGTCCTCTGACATCAGTAAGGAAACAAAGAAAATGGCCGGGTGCGGTGACTCTTACCTGTAATCCCAGCATCTTGGGAGGTCAAGGCGAGCAGATCATGAAGTCAGGAGTTTGAGACCAGCCTGGCCAATGTAGTGAAACCCCGTATCTACTAAAAATACAGAAATTAGCCGGGTGTACTGGCACTTGCCTATAATCCCAGCTACTCCAGAGGCCGAGTCGGGAGAATCGCTTGAACCTGGAAAGCAGAGGTTGCAGTGAGCTGAGACCACGCCATTGCACTCCAACCTGGGTGAGACTCTGTCTCAAAAAATAAAAAAAGAAAAAAAAAGGAAATACACACATTTACCTGCACGTTCACAGAGCCCTTCTGAAAGGCAACACAAAAGACCATCATGGTGCAGAGCTGAGAGAGTGAGGAAGCACAGGAGGGAGGCTGGCTTTTCACTACACGCTTGTACCTTTGTTATATGGCACCACATGGTACTATCTATGGACAAAAATGAGTTAAAGTTACAATTCTTACATGAGGCACAAATGCTCCACATCTGTGGATGTAGGAAAATGCTTGTGATGAATTGATAGAAAAGAAGGTGATCTATATTAGTTAGGTGACCTTCTTTTCTCTCAATTCATCAGAAGCATTTTCCTACATATATATCCATGAGATATATGCATTATTCACATATATCCATGAGATATCTCCACAAGTATATCCCACGTATATCCATAAGAATAGAGAGAAATGTCTAAAAACACTATCATCAAATCAGCAAATGAAGTTGCTACTATTCGTGCACTGTATGCATTGATTCATTTTCTCACAACAACAGGGCAAGGCAGAGAGATGGCTGTTGTCCTCACCGCACAGATTTCCTGACCAAGGGCTCACAGCCAAGGGGAGGCAGAGCTGGGATTGGAACCTCAGCTACAGGGTTAGAGAGCCGTCTCTGTTGCAAATCGCACATATCTCTTTTTGCCTTGACTTTTCAGCATTATCAGAAGTTGAGCCAGGTCAGGCACAGTGGCTCACACCTGTAATCCCATCACTTTGGGAGGCGGAGGTGGGCAGATCACCTGAGGTCGGGAGTTCGATACCAGCCTGACCAACATGGAGAAACCCTGTCTCTACTGAAAATACAAAATTAGCTGGGCGTGGTGGCGCATGCCTGTAATCCCAGCTACTTGGGAGGCTGAGGCAGGAGAATTGCTTGAACCTGAGAGATGGAGGTTGTGGTGAGCTGAGATCGTGCCACTGTACTCCAGCCTGGGCAACAAGAACGAAACTCCATCTAAAAAAAACAAAGTTGAGCCAATTAATCCAAGTCTCTTTCTCTTCTGCTGCCACTTTACTTCTAAACAAGACTTTTAAGAAAAAGCCCTAAGAACAACCCATGTCCCCCAAGTCAGCAGCCACCCTTTCCTGGCACTCATGTCCTCTGGGGAATTCCCCTCCCAGCTCCTGGTGTAGGAAATCATGAGAGTGTTTTTTAAAGAGTCAAGCAAGAACAAGGAGGATGTTTCATGTTCCAGATAAAAGGACACCAAAGAGAGGTGTCACCAAATGCAGGGCCTAACCCTCGGTACCAGAAAAAATAAAGAATAAACTTTTAAAAAGAAAAACAGATTTAAACAGTTATAAAGGACATCTGGAGCAGTCCCAGTCATTTGAACATGGCCTGGAGACTACCTAATGTAACTGACTCGATACTAAATTTCTCATATGTGAGCACAGCACTACGGTTGTGTTGAGAACGCCCTCGTCCTTCAGAGATGCAGGCTGAAGCAATTAGGGTGAAGGCCAAGGATGCCTGCAATTTACTCTCAAACAGCTCAGCAAAAATCACACAGAGAGGTCGGGTGTGGTGGCTCACGCCTGTGATCCCAGCACTTTGGGCGGCGGAGGCAGATGGATTGCATGAGGTCAGAAGTTCAAGACCAGCCTGGCCCAAGTGGCGAAACTCCATCTCTACTAAAAATACAAAAATTAGCCAGGCATGGTGGCAGGAGCCTGTTATCCTAGCTGTTCGGGAGGCTGAAGCAGGAGAATCACTTGAACCCGGGAGGCAGAGGTTGCAGTGAGCCAAGATCGCGACATTGCACTCCAGTCTGGGCAACAAGAGCGAAACTCCATCTCAAAAAAAAAAAAAAAGCACATAGGGCCAGGTGTTTGCAGTAGGGGATCCTGGGGGAAGGGACACTTGGAGGCTCATTGCAAAGTTTTTGCATTTTTCTCTAAGTCTGAAATTTTTCAGAATAAAAAGTTGGGGGAGATAGGTGGTTGCCAGGGGCTGGAGTAGGAAAGGGATTGATAACAAGGAGGCACCAGGGAACTTTCTGATGTGATGGAAATATTCTGCAACTTGATCGTGCTAGTGGATATACAACTGTATACATTTCTCAAGATTTGTAGAACTGCATATCACAAAAGGGTGAATTGTGCTATATATAAATTACATATCCATGAAAGTCACTTGAAAAAAAGGGGGGAAAGACAAAGAACCTATGGGGTCCTCATGGGCTCTGGTACTGCCTTGATCCAGTCTCACCTGAACCCGCAGTGGCCCCGAGGGTTCAGCAACACGGAAGAGCTACCCTCTAGACCCCAGGACCCACAACCTGGCCTTGGGAAGCTTCCTCCTAAGCCTCCCTGCCCTGAATCCAGAGCTTCGGAGCTTCCCCAGGAGACATGCACTGAATGACTTCCTTGCATCCTGAGAAAGCAGTATCGGTGCCGCTCACAAAGCACTGGCAACCTCAGCAGAGACCGAAGATCGCTGCGTCCACCCCACCACCACAGCTCTTCCCAGAACAAGAAAGCGGCCTGCTCAAGACCGCACAGCAAGTCAGGCAGCTCTGCTGGATTGGTCATTCTGAAACTAAAGCCCCAAGCCCGAGATTATCCCTTCCAACCACCCTGATTTCTCAGGTCAGAAGACGGAGGCCCAAGTGTGTGTCAGAGCACAGATTAGCAATGGCTCCGCAGCCCCAGATGCTGCCAGCATGGTGGGTCTTCGTGTGGTCCCCACAGGCTGGCAGTGGGGCCCCAGGAGGGTGGGATGTGAACCTCCATTCCTGTCTGTCATCCTCTGTCATCTCCACAATCCCCTCCCAAGCTTCCTTTGTTCCCACCCATTGGGGCACAGGGCTGGACGCAGGGGCCAGGTGGGGGTCCCACACCTGCCCCCCACCGCCCTGGGGAGCACCCACATGGCACAGAGCCACAGATTCTGCCCAGCCCACGAAACTCACCTCACCCAGAACCTGTTTCAACTCCTCCAGCTCTCCTTGGCAGCCGCGGAGGCCTCATTAAGTGATGCCAGCACCTCCCACACACCCCCGAAGAAGGGGAGGGGGCACTGCCCCAGCAATGGAACTCTACGGCCCCATCGGAGGCCCCGCGCCTCCCCCAGAGTCCCTCAGGTCTGGCTATATGCACCACAGAGACACAATGCCCGTGCCAGACCAGGCTGGGGAGCAGGGACCTCAATGTGAGATGCGGTCCAGGCCCCGCCGCCTCTCTCCTGGGCAGGCCTGCCTGGGCCCCGGGGAGATGCTTAACCTCCTTAATTAACTGGCAGTGATTAAGAGGCCACCTTGGGAGGCCTCTGAGGCCTCAAGGAGGACTGGGGGCCTGAAACTGGGGGCAAGGCCCCCTAGTCATGGCAGGCTCAGAGACTTCCCCCATGTAGAACGGGGAGAAGGGGCCCCCACCCTGCACCATAGCATTCAGGGCAAAGCAGCCCATCCTCCCTGCATCAGCTGTGTGGCACTAGGAAAGTGGCCTTACCTCTCTGTGCCTCAGTTTCCACTGAGAGGGAGGGCAGGGTGGCAGCGAGACTTGATTAATGACTGTTTGTGAGAAGGTCCCAGAGATGCCGCTGATAACAGGCCCGGCTATTATTCTGGGAAGGCATCGAGGAGTGTCTGAGCCCATAATTACCCAGAGGATGAAAACAGTGGAGCAGAGAAGCCTCGCCCAGCCCTGCCTGCTGCCCCCACACCCACCCTCCTGCCCTGGCAGGGGCCCCTCCTCCAGCAACAAGACCCGGGAGAGGAGGCCTCAGCCCCAGCCTGAGCCCAGACCTCCCTGTCTTCCTCCCAGCACCTATGTTCTTAAACTCTGTCCATCCATTCCTTCACTCACTCATTCATTCATTCATTCCAGGAATTATTAAGCACCTACTGTGTGCTGGATTGTGGGATACAGCAGGAAACAAGACCTACAGGGATCCTTCCTAGAGTAGCTCTGTCCCCTGCAAAAGGCAGATCTGTTCCAGCAAGGAAGCAGAATATTAAAAAAAAAAAAAGCAAAACAGTGGGGTGATGTGATACCTAAGAACTGAGGCGCTCCAGCTCAGGTGCTGAGGGAGGCCACACTGAGGAAGTGAGGCAACGTTAGAGCTGAGGACCCCTGGGGGATACGGGGCTGTCATGAGGAGAGTATTCTAGGCAGAGGGACAGCATGTGCAAAGGTCCTGGGGTGCGAAACTGGTGCTGGAGGAGGTGGGTGCAGGGCCAAGAAGGCAGAATCATGGGAGGTGAGACCAGGGAGGTAGGGGAGGCTGGGGCAGATGGAGCAGGGCCCCTTGGGTCACAGTGAGGAGCCCAGATTGCAGGGACAGAGGGCAGCCACAGGAGAATTTTCAGCACTGGAAGGACGAAGGTGGGATCCTCTCCCCAGAGCAGTGTGCAGGGCCCTTCAATGCACACACGTCAAATCAAAATACCAGTGGTGGCCAGGCGCGGTGGCTCCCACCTGCAACACTTGTTTCCTGCTGTACCCCACTGTCCAGCACTTTGGGAGGCCGAGGCACACAGATCACTTCAGGCCAGGAGTTTGAGACCAACCTGGTCATCACGGTGAAACCCCACCTCTACAAAAAATACAAAAATTAGCTAGGCCTGGTGGTTTGTGCCTGTAGTCCCAGATACTTGGGAGGCTGAGGCAAAAGAATCACTTGAACCCGAGAGGCAGAAGTTGCAGTGAGCTGAGATCAGGCAACTGTACTACAGCCTGAGTAACAAAGCAAGACTCTTTCTCAAAAATCTCAAGGTCAGACATTGATGATACCACCTGCCTGTCTGTAAAATATGTTCCAACCTGAAGCTCAAATCCTGGATTCATCACTGTGCGTCCTTTGGCCTCAATTTCTCCCTTTGAATAGTGGAAGGGCACTCCCAGATCGGGTGGAGATGATGATTCAAATCCCCAAACACAGAGAAAGAAGGCCCTGAGCACCTACTGTGTGCTGGGAGGCAGGGGTCGGCCTCCAGGAGGCACCTCCCATGGGCATTTTGTATAGGATGCCTGGCTATTCCTGAGGCCTCTGGAGCACCAAAGCCTGTGTTCAGGTCCTAGCTCTGCTCCTTAGGAGCTGGGTGCCTTGGGCAAACATCTTGGCCCCTCTGGGCCTCAGTTTCCTCATCTTCAAAATAGGGTCGAAATTAATACCCACCTCATGGAATCGTTGTGAGGATTAAGTTAGTTAATACCTGTAAGGCAAGGAAACAAGGCCTGGACCAGAATAAGTGCTCAATTTCTGGTCATTTTTCTGGTTAATTTCCTAAACTCTCTCCTTAAGCTCCCCACCTGTCTACCCCCCACCAACCCCTCAGCACTGGATTTCTAGGCCCTGTCCCTACCCAAAAAGTCCAGTCTCCCGTCTCAGCTCTGTGCATCCCCCAGCAGCCAGGGAAGTGTTTAAAATGACACTTCTCCTCTGCTCAGTACTGCAGTGTCTCCCCGCATCCAGGCTAAGTCCTCCCTGGGGTATTGGGCATGTCCCCCTGGCCACCCTTACACCATCCTCATCCCCCACTCCTCCCTCCAGCTGGAGCAACCTCTGGATCCCAGAGGGTTCCATCCACCCTGCCTTGGCCACTTTGCACATGCTGTTCCCTCTGCCCAGGACACCCTTCCTCCCACCGTTCTGCCTGCACTGACTCTTCTTTCTGTGGGGAGCCATCTGGGACTTTCCGGGGCTGCCACAGGCTTCTCATTCCGTGCCCTGTGCTTCCCCCATGACAGCACCTGCTAAAAGGACATGTCAGGGTCCCCAGCTTGACTGGGAACACATGAGAAGGCCAACTCCTTTTCTGCAAGACTTGGAGGGTGTCTGGGGAAGGCAGGTGGTGATGAGGGTGAGTGTCTACGGTGAGTTGAGGCAGTTGAGGTGAGTTGAGTGAATCCCGTTGACTTAAACTGACTTTAGCCAGGTGCGGTGGCTCAAGCCTGTAATCCCAGCACTGTGGGAGAGGCCAAGGCAGGAGAATCACTTGAGGCCAAGAGTTTGAGACCAGCCTGGACAACATAGTGAGACCCTGTCTCTGCAAAAAATAAAATTTGAAAAATAGCCAGGCATGGTGGCATGCATCTGTAATCTCAGCTACTCAGGAAGCTGAGGCAGGAGGATTGCTTGAGCCCAGGAGTCAAGGCTGCAGTGAGCTAGGTCTCACCATTGCACTCCAACCTGGGCGACAGAGCAAGACCCTATCTCTAAAAAGATAATGAATAAATAAAAACTTGTAAAAGTTGAGATGAGGTGTGTTGAGGAGCTGGGTGGGGCTGAGCTGAGCATTCCACGAAGCAGGATTGACATGAGCTGAAGTGAGGTGGGTGGGATTGCCGTGAGTGGCGCGGAGGTGAACTGAGGCCAGCTGAGCTGAGTGGAGGTGCGGTGAGTTCAGAAGAGTTAGTTGGATTGAGTTGAGTCAGGTTGAGGTGAGTTTTCACCTGAACTGCGCTCTGCTGAGCTGAGGGGTGTGCAGGGATGAGAAGGCAGAGTCATGGGAGGTGAGGCCAGGGAGGCAGGGGAGGCTAGGGCAGATCCTGCAGGGCCTCCTGGAGCACAGTGAGGAGGCCAGAGTGCATCCTCAGGACAGGTGGTGTCAGTTGCGCTGATGAGCTGGGTTCTGTCAAACAGAGCTGAGGAGGGTTGAGTGGAGATGTGTTGAACGGAGTCGAGTTCAGCTCAACACAGTGAGTAGAGTTCTGTTCACGGGGAGTGGAGTTCTTTTGAGTTGAATTCAGTTGAGGCATTGAGTAGATTCAAATCAAGTTGTTTAAAACTGAGCTGAACTGCGTTGAGTTAAACCAGTGTTTCTCTCTCTTTATTTCTTTATGTGTTTATTTTTTTTATTTTTTGAGGGTCTCGCTTCATCTCACGGGCTGGAGTGCAGTGGCGTGGTCTCCGCTCACTGCAGCCTCGACTTCTTGGGCTCAAGCGATCATCTGACCTCAGCGTCCTGAGTTTTGAGTAGCTGGGACTACAGGCATGCACCACCATGCCCAGCTAATGTTTTAAATGTTTTGTAGAGGTGGGGTCTCTCCCTGTTGCTCAGGCTGGTCTCAATCTCCTGGGCTCAGTCGATCCTCCCACCTTTGCCTCCCAAAAGTTCTGGGATTATAGGCATGGCCCGCTGCACCTGGCTCAATTTTTTAAACTGCCCCCTACAGAGTATTTTAGAACCTTTTCTTCCTAAGTGCCCCTTATGAAAGGTTAATGCCACAGATATACTGTACATCTGTTTGTGTTTTGCATGTATTTCTTTGCTTTATTTTTATTTTCCCTATTTATTTTTGAGACAGGATCTCACTCTGTCACACAAGCTGGGGTGCAGTAGCTCTAATTTTTGTACTTTTAGTAAAGACAGGGTTTCACCATACTGGCCAGGCTGGTCTTGAACTCCTGACCTCAAATGATCCACCCACCTCGGCCTCCCAAAGTGCTAGAATTACAAGCGTGAGCCACTGCGCCCAGCCTATCTTTGCTTTATACGTAAGAACATTAAGATAATGTTTTTTGCCCCACAAGAATTAATTTCCACCTCTGTGGGGGCAATGTCATCTCTACACCCACCCACCCACCCAGATGCTCAAGAGAATGCCTTAGTCAGGCTGAGCAGAAGTGTTTTGTCTTCCTGGAGAAGGTGGTCTCTGGCGTGGATTGTGATCACCCCAAGGCCCACCCAACCTCAGTTGGAATTCTCCTTCCACCGTGCCTTTTCCTCCGCCCCCCATTTCCTCACCTGTGAAATGAAATCTAGTAAAAGAAGAAACAACAAATGCACATGCTCTGAAGCAGGTACCTTCAGGGTAAGACCACAACTCCTGCCCATCAAACCTTATGGGACACGGGCAGCAGTGGGAGTCTTATCCTAAGGGCAATGGGGAGCTACGGGAGGATTCTGAGCAGGGGAGGATGTGATCTGCATAAATGAAAGCCTCTGGATGGACCCTGAATGGACTCCCCGGGGGCCCAGGACAGCGTGCCTGGATGGCCAAGCCAAGCATCCACGCGCTGGCTGCAGGAGCAGAATCTGAGGCTCGTATTCACAGCCTCCTTTGTGGGAGATAGAACATCTGCCCTGTGGAGCAGAAAATTCTCCACACAGGAAG